ACCAGCGCCGCCCAGCCAGCCACCACCCCACGCCCAGCCTAAGATCAGACCACGACGATCTCTTTCTCCTTCGACCTCATCCCCGACGCTGCCTCCACGCGCGCTCAGATCAGATCTGCGCCGCCAATAGCAACCCCGAGGCAAGATTTCGCTCTCCTGTTTCGTAGTTTGATTATTTACATTTTTTATGAATTATTTGCATAGTTTAATTGTGTCGTATTTATCTGCGTGGGTTGTTTGGTAAATAATATTGATTTACATAATGGATATGTGATAAATGACATTTTCAGAATAATTATAAGGAATTAAAAGAATTTAGTTCGGTAAAAGAATCATTTTTAGATAATTATAATAATTTAAAAGAATTTATTTTGGAAATGAATTAGTTTAGATTAATTGTTAAGTGAAATAATTTAAAATGAATTTATTTAGAAAAAGATTATTTTCTGAATTATGTAGATGTTGTTTATGATTTATATTTCTTATTTTGATTATCTGATATGCTATGATATTGTTGCACATGATTTGTTGCATTGATTGTTTCATGTTGTGATTGAGAATCATTAGGAGTTTATGACCTGTATGACACAGTTAGGATCTAGAACACCGTGTGTAGTTGACCTAGAATTACGAGAATTGGGATGAGAAGTCTTGGTCCATGTGAGCGGTTGTGATTGTTGATGTATATTCCGGGCTCGCGCTGGTGAAGTTTGTGTAGTCACCGGGGTGGGTCCGAGGAGTTGTGATATGTGATTGTTGATGTTCCAGGCTCGCGCCAGCGCCTTGTTTCGGCCTGGGGTGGGTCTGAGGTATCGTGATATGAGATTGTTGATGTATTTTCCAGGCTCGCGCCAGCGTCTTGTTTCGGCCTGGGGTGGGTCTGAGGTGTGCGATGTTATCGAGATTATTGATTGTTTTCCAGGCTCGCGTTAGTGTCTTGTTTCGGCCTGGGGTGGGTCTGAGGAGCAGTGATATTGAGATTGTTGATTATTTGAGATGA